TTTTAAGAATAAAAAAGTCAATTAACAGTTAAATTACTGTCTCCGACAGTTAAATAACTGCTGGAAACAGTAATTTAGCAACGAATACAGTAATATTAATTAAAAATATTTTATTTAAGAATAAAAAAGTCAATTAACAGTTAAATTACTGTCTCCGACAGTTAAATAACTGCTGGAAACAGTAATTTAGCAACGAATACAGTAATATTAATTAAAAATATTTTTTTTAAGAATAAAAAAGTCAATTAACAGTTAAATTACTGTCTCCGACAGTTAAATAACTGCTGGAGATAGTAATTTAGCAACGAATACAGTAATATTAATTAAAAATATTTTTTTTAAGAATAAAAAAGTCAATTAACAGTTAAATTACTGTCTCCGACAGTTAAATAGCTGCCGGAGACAGTAATTTAGCAGCCAAGACAGTAAAATTAATTAAAATATTTTTTTTAAGAAAAAACAAAATTATTAAAAAAAAAAAAAAAAAAAAAAAGTCAACGCCGGAGACCCGGCGGTCAACGGCCGTTGACCGGCCGGAAAAAAAATTTCAGGAAAACGAAAATTCAAAAAAAAAAAAAAAAAAAAAAAAAAAAAAATCAAAAGTCAACGCCGGAGACCGGCGGTCAACGCCGGAATCTGGCCGGAAAAAAATATTTCAGAACAAAAATTTATTTTCTGAAAAAAAAAAGTTTTGGGGTTAATGTGATATATTTGTTTAAATCCGGGGTCAATGTGTAATATTTAAGAAGTTAGAGCATAATTGGTGGAATTGATAAGAATTAGGGTTAAAATTGGGGTCAAAATTGAAATTAGGTTTAAAATTGGTTAATTGATGAAATTGGGCTAAATTGGGGTGTAAATCATGAAAGTGGAGTTGAATTGGGTTTCAATGAATTGGGGTAATTTTGGTATATATAAAGGGATTTTCCTTATTTGCAAATAAGTTTGAATGGGGTGGGTTTAATTGAAAAACAAAAAAATTGAATGTCCCTTTTTTAATTAAGTGCCCTTGTCATTGGCTTATTTGCCATTACCCCTACATTCCCCAATATTGAATTTAGTTGTTGTTGGCCGAAAACCTACACGCAAGTGCATGTATTGTACAAGTAATATAGTGGACAATTAAGTCCGGATATCGAACCCACAGGGAATATTTAATTACTTAATTATAGACGCTAAATCCTACCCATTATTATCAAGCCCACCCTACACAGTCGAATTTTGAGAGAATTAACTAAATTAAACTAAATTAATAAGCAAGCGAAAACAAGAAAGCAATTTAAAACGAAGATTTAATCAAAGTAAACAAGCCTAGGATTTTATTCTCCCCCTATGTGATTATTACTCTCTCAATTCCTTCAATTATGCAAGCAATTAACCCGGATTATTAACCTGAGATGCTAAAATAATCATAACCCGCTTCCGCGTGTATTACGATTCTAATACTCTAGATTCAATTACTATATTCCTATGCAATTAATTCTAGAACACATCATTAAGCACAAATCTCAATAATGGCTACCTAAGAGATTAACTATATTCCTATGTTAATACCACAAAGGCTCTTCTACCACAGTTCTAATTATTAACCCGATCTTCCGATTCATGCGATTAACAATAACATAAAAGCACATAAGTTGATCAAGTTCATGCACTTAATAAAACAAGTACAAGAAATAATCCGAAATTAAAACTTGCATAAAATCATAGAAAATGGTTCGTAAATCCCACATAGGGTTCCAAATAAAATCCTAGAAATAAGAAAACTAGCTACTCATGATTAAAGGAAAAACGCAAATAAAATAAGTCATAAACGATAAATCTATGCTTAGAGTCTTCGAATTCTTCGTCTTCGTTATTGCTTTGTTGCTCTCCAAATTACGTAAAAAGATCCCCAATTGTGTGCTTGGCTTGGTCTTATATAGGGTGAAGAACTTGGGGAAGAAGGCAGTTTCCTTGTACAATTAAAATCCCTTTACTGCGCAACTTCGGAGTCTCGGACGGGGGTCCCACAATTTGCACTAAAACTGGGACGGGGGTCCCAGCTTTAAATCTTCAGAATTTTGATATTTTCACTTTTGACCCATATTTTCGCCAAAATTGCAGTTTTGACCCCATACTTTTCCAATTCTTCAATTTGTACCTAAAATACAATAAATCAACTTTTTAAGCACCAATTATCGTTAAAACACACCAAAAGCTCAAATAAAAAGGTACGATAAAGTGTAAAAATATACACTTAACACACCCCCAAACTTGAACATTTGCTTGTCCTCAAGCAAAATCTACCAATAAGCAAATAACTCAACGATAACATCTCATCACATAGATCAATGATCAACTTCACGTTTTCAGAACTTGTAATTATAATGACAATTCTTAGGCATTCGCAAGCTCAAAATTCAACAACACTTCGTCACTCACCATTACCAAAAACCACAATTCATACAATTGCTTCAAGCATCCAATATTTGCAAACTAAAGATAGAAAGAATTTATACTTACATGCATATGCTTGACTCCAAATACTCACCAAATTATTCTACTCTACTAATATCGAACATTAAGCTATTGGGATCATTGGGGCTTTGTGGCTATCAATTGTTAGGCTCTTTGGTTCAAGGTACGAAATATGGGTATATGTGACTATTCTTCTTGAATTTAGGTGATTACGCCAAAATTTGAAAGATAGGCGTTTGAAACAATAAATTCACCTCTACGGACTTTAATAAACTCGATTTTCAAAAGTTCAAAAGTCTCCACTTTTGCTTTTGAGGCAATGGGTCGAGTTTTCAAAAATAATTCAACAACTAGTCTTTATTTCTCCCTTCTAGTCTCTTCTTCTTCTCTTTTTCTCTCTTTTTTTTTAATATATATATATAGAAGCATATATACTTGTCTTCTTTTTTTTTTCGAAGAAGAAGAAGGACCTTATAAAAATTTCCGACCGATCTCCAAGGGGTAATTTTCAAGAATCTCCACCAATTCTACCTCACACATTGGCTAAAAGAAAGAACACCTTTTCTCCGAGGCTCAAATCAAGGTTCTAAGGATAATTTCGATAAAAAGGTCGGCTTGAAAGGCTCAAACGGTTCAAAGAAGGCCCAAATCATATCCCAAATCACTCACTACTCAATACTTCGTATCATAAATTTCCTAAGGTGAATTCTAAAACCGAACATAGCATGATCTAGCACAAATTAATTCCAAATTTAAAATACAAAACGTTCAACCAAAGCAATGCACAAAATGTGATTCCTAACAATAATTCGCTTCTAAGTCCCGTTGAATCGAAAGCTAAACAAAAATCAAATCCTTATCACACAAAACAAGCAATCTCATCATCAAACATTGATCATCTCTCATCATCATAAATCATCGATGCATTCGACTCAAGCAATATTTTTTTTTTTTTTTTTTATATTCCGAAAAAAAAACCGATAAAAGCGATAAAAACAAATAAAGCCTAATGCATGCAACCTAAAACAAATAAGCATAAACATATGTTTTTCACCCCCAAACTTAAAATTTTCGTTGCCCTCAACGAAATTAGCACAAAGTCTTAAGGATAGAAAACACCTGATTTAGTCGGAGTCGATGTGATCGGGGTGCTCATCCCTAGCTCTCTCACGCTCGTCCTCATTGGGCGGTGGCACTTTTCTTTCCCTTTTCCTCGCTTTGGAAGATGATGCTTCGCTCGTGCGGCCTCGTTTGTTGGACGACATAGTTGGGAGAGAGGATGGAATATATTCGGTGAGAATTGGTTAACAATCGAACTCAAAATTTGGTTGGAGCAAATTGTCGAACACCTTGTGGGCGTGCCTTGAAAGAGTTGATCTTGAAGAATTTGGTTCGATTCTCTAGCCTCCATTTGTGTGTGGGAGTTT